TTGAGAATGGCCTTATCACACCGGCTTTGAAAACCCAAAAATATTTTACTCCCTCGGGAGTGCACTATCTATTTACTCTTTCATGTAAAACTCCACCTTGTAAAAAAATCTTCGGGTGGACTCCCTTGTGTAAGGTTCTTTAGAAGCTCTAACTTGTGGAATTGGGAATCCCAAATACCAAGATTTTACCTAAGATTGTGTACATAATTGACTAAATGCAAAGTAGATCAATACAAATATAAATAAAGCAAACATAAAAAAGCACGTCACGACAACAATTATTTACATCCACAGACTCAACAGCTAGAAATCCACTATCACAATGAAGATTACAGTTTTAGGTTACAAGAGATATATATCTCTCTATACATTGGTAAAAGACCATCATCAATCTTTCCTTCTATACTCGCACTCCCTACCAAGCAACACCATCAATACCATTTTTCTCGTTGCAATACCACTACTAAAAAGATAATATCGAGAGCAACCGAGATATTTTTTCTATCTAGAAATGGAAACCTTACCAACCCAAAACTCATGGAATGTCGCCTATCCCTCGGAGGTTATGTCTCTCTCTGAGAGATCCATCTCCGAGATCTATTCCCATAACCCCTAAAGGTGCCCTCAAAGGATGGGTATTATGTCTTTATTGCGTATCTTATATAGATATCACTTTATTGCTTCTCAAAAAAATCCATTTTTTTTTTTACCATAAAACATTTAATCTTTTGAAAAAAATATGAGTATGATGATTTGGCTATAACCAAACCAAACACCTTGCAAGGCCATAGAGGGGTATAATCTTTCAACCTTTTTATTTTATTTTAATATTTTTGCTTTATGTTTTTTTTCCTATATCAGTTGGTATCAAACTATTAAAATAAAAAATCCACACACCATATGGAGGGTTTTGATCAATTTGATCAAATATTTGAACGATTGGATCAACGGTTTGAGAGACAAATGGAAGACCGTCACAAAGTAATACAACAAACAGGTTTAGATGCCACATGTGGCATTTGGACAAAAATAGGACTAAACGCAACAATGCATGGCGTCTAGGGTTCTATGAATTCAGCCATAGATTTTTTGGGATCTGAGGTTAGGTGGTATTTAAGGGTTTCCGGTCCAAACGCCATAAACATCTAGGATTGTTAGGTATATGAGAGATGAATTTTTGGGATTTCAGGGATCCAAGGCATAGATGCTATGTCCCATAGCATTTCAGGGTTTTTGGTCTCGACACCGCACATCGCGGCATCTAGACTATGGCCAACTAAGTTGTCATGATTTCATAGATCTTCTTGATCTTGATTCAAATTTCGTCTTGATCAAACTTATCCCCAAGCTTCTATCCTATTTCTTAATTCGAATCATGTGTAACGTTATCTAAACTGAAACCCCTAATGAAATTGTGTATTAAAACTACAAAACACAACTCTATTTTAAACACCTCTGGGGCTAGCTTCGATGAAAACTAAAAACAAGTATGAAAAATTGGGATCAATACAACTACTGTGCAAAATGATCATATGCTTATTGTCTAAAGAGACATCCTATCAAAATCGCGGATGAAAACCCAAATTTTGATAGGTCCGTAATTGGTTTTAGAAAAAGAAAAGCTTTCTATACACCACTAGATATAGTAAGTTCATATATGTCACTTCCATTTCAGTCGTCTGATCTGGAGATGTGGCCTTAAGAGACAATGTCATGCCTAAATACTATTTTATTTTCAAAGTTTTTCTACTAATGATGTGGATGCCAAATTTGGGGCGCCCAATTATCTCTTAAGGTGGCAAACTTAAAAACAAAATCCTTGTAAAATAAAAGAATCAAAATACCTCTATGTGGGTTTGGTTATTTTATTTTTCAGAAATATTCTTTTTTGTATTTTTTCGGTTCGCCCCAATTTTCTTGTTCATATGATTTGTTTTGAGAAATTAAGACTAAAATACTATGAAATGTCAGAACTACATCAAACGGTCAGTGGGTTGCTGGGAGAGAGTGACGTGTATAAATTGGTTACACCTTGTGGCGTGTAGAAAGACTTCTCTTTCTAAAAAGCACAATTTTGTTTAAGAAAGGCATGGACAATCTAATTAAGGAGAGTCAGCCGAATTTCCTCACATTTGTAAAATAATCATCCTGTTCTCAATAGTAAAATGGCAATTTCTAATTCCCTTGAAGAACCAGGACTGTCAAACGCTTTAGGGCCAAACCTGGACCGCCCTTGTAACAGTATGAGTCAAAACATTATGTGGAGACTACCCATACTCCATGGCTCTCTTTGTATCTTATTTTTGCTTACCTATTATTTTCGACGTCACAAAAGTTTTTACCCATCCCTATCAGTAAGGACCCGTCTGGTACTACAAAAATCAAACATACACGATGTTGGGTGTCTCGAATGTTGGACCACTCGACTTCTTGAGTTGTCCAGACCTATTATTTTTAATTATTATTATTTAAATTTTTAATATTAATTAATTCAATAAAAAATTTGTAATATAATTAATTTTATTTATTTTTAA